ATTATCCTTTATTTAAGAGAACTGTTGCTCAATTTTTGCATTCAGAAAAGCTCCCGCAAATTTTGGGTGCTGAATCTACTGATCGACTCTACCGTATCGATGGCGCTTTTGGTCTCTAATCTCTATGGCCGGCCTCACCAGGGACAATTTCTTTAGCCAACTACGACTGCTGTTCTTCTGCGATTCCGTTTGGCCTAGCCCCAACTTCATGGCACAATTTTCGACCGACATTTTTGGAACAGTGCTGCCGCTCAGTTCTTGACTCTCTGCATCTTGTGGTCAGCATTTTTTTCTCCCGAACCCTGCAAGCCATAAAAGCCTCCATGAACTTTATTTTGATTCCCTATCTCCGGGGGTTTTTTGACTGTTGTCTGGATTTTTGTTCAACGTTTCCCTGCCAACGCCTGCAAACTGGCATTAATTCAATTTTTTTATCATTATTATTTTTATTATTGTGTCCGATTATTCGTTCGAGTGAGAATCCGAAATGTCAGGTCAATAAATTTCTTGTTCCTGTGATCGCATCTGCGTTTTCTGAAGTAAAACATTTTTTGCGGATCCTGCGACCAATAATTTTTGATGGCAACTAAACAAATCTTTCATATATTTACATATCGACCGTCGTTGCCCTCTATGTTCACTGTGTGCCACACATTGTAAATGAGGGACGGTGACTTATACGTGAATTATTTTATACTGATTTTTTGCTTGCACAGCATCTACCGCACTCTCTCCTATTCCTCACCTTGACCCGGTGTCAAGGCATAGTCAAGAATATCGGAGGCGGATGAGTGCGCAGGCGAGTTTTTTGCGTAAAAGTTTAACTTGAGGATTAATTTATGCATGGCGAAATTTATTACATTATATTACTCCTGACTGTTCATATGTCGACAACCGCAATGGCCAATGAAACTAATCGTTGTTAAATATGGAATGGTATTCTAAAACTTACACCAACTGTTTATGCGGGTGTCTGAGAAAACCTCCAACTTTTGCGGATATAGTTTAATATATGCTAGCCTACGCCGGGTGAAAAGTTCTCATGCCCTATATTTTCACCTGTTAAAAAATGAATTATCGCATAGATAACTGCAGCTAACTTGTGAGTGCCAATGGGATTTTTCACAAGTTTAACTTACAGTCAACCCAAAAAACTTTTCAATCCTGCTGTATGCTTCAAAACGACCATTTAGACTCCGTCATCTTTTTCGGTACTCCTTCCGTAGCAGGGCACTGCTACCACAAGTGAGAACTTGCTCTCACCATGTGTCCAGAGAATAAAGGATTCGAAACCTGTGATATCCCTGTGATATCACTTTCGTCCAACTAATCAATTTTAGAACGTAAACCATGCGTAAAGGCCGTATTTGTCAGAGTGTGTTAATAAAGTGAATAAAACCTGCTGAAGCAATCAGTAGTACAAAGACTCACGAGGGAAATCTACGTCAAGTGCATGAAGGCGCTTTCGGTTGTGCAAGTACACAATGAAAGTTTGATAGAGCAGCGATTCCTCGACCTGTGGAATGAATCGGGAAAAGGGATTATTGCTTCATCAGCGTGTGTCATGTAAACAATTGGACCGATTTTATTTGGAAGTCCAAATGGACCTCAAAAGGGGGGCCGGTTGATCTGACCCAGCTTTCTGATGTGACCTGTATTTTGAGGCAACAATGAACGTCGTTAATAAACTTTCATACTGTTCGTGTATGTCACTGGCCCTTGGCGTTTATACAAAGACCTACATGTACGAGAAAAAAATATACCTGCTTCCATAGTTCTGTTGATTTGGCCAGGATTTTGGTCATTTTTAAGTATTCCGACGCACCTTATCTTTCGTCCATATTCCTCTCTCTCTCTCTCTCTCTCTCTCTCTCTCTCTCTCTCTCTCTCTCTCTCTCTCTCTCCCTGGAAATGATTTTCTACCGTTTTCGATTTTTTCCGCGCCACTGTGCTGGTTTCGTTTTGTTTAGCTTTTTGACTTGATCCTCCAAATTCCAGGTGTTTTTGTCAGTTTCTCCACTCTTCTACGACTGGTTAGTCAATTACTTTTTATGCGCAGGCTACCCCGCCTCCTATTTATCCCATTCTTGGGTCTTGATTAGTCCCGCCAGTGCTTAGACATGAGAACTGCCCTGAGGGAGACTTAAAGAAGGTTACTCGGTTATTCAAACGTCGGCAGTTTCGACCGTTATCTCAGAGACCCTTCGCTGTATCCGCAACATCAATGCGCAGTCTCTGATTTTAATTCACCTTCAAGGCAGTTGCTATGACATTAGTAAGCAGATATTCAAAATGTCAGCCGCTGCGAAATTTTATGAAAGTCCAACTTTCCAATATTACGAGGTTTTCAAAGATGATATCATTGCACAATTTACGGCTGTGGCTCCCTCACCTCATAAGGACTTCTATTATCTTATTTTAACAAAAACCAAGGTATGTATTTCCTCGTAGATGTCCGTTCATATGTGTGGACTCAGCGAATCTGATCAGAAATTAAGAGTGTAATATTGCAAAAGTTCTTACTTTTGAACTTTTTCGTGTTCATTTTTTGATTCTTCCGACTACAGGACAGATAAAATATGAGTCCCTATGCTTCCTTCTATCTGCTAATAGGCCTAGTAGCAGGAGTATACCGCCTCGATATCGGGTAGATAGCAGAGTTTCGACGTGCATATATCTATTGGACGGCGTTTTTTTCTGGCGGGTGTATATCGACTAGGTATCGGATGTTCAATATGCTCGAGAAACGGCGGTATCAGTACGCATAGCAATTTACGCGACTCCTTTTCCCGTGGAAATGCTACCGTTTTATATTAAATCGACCTACATTGTTTCTGTCGTCCCTTCCCGTCTTCCCAAGCCGTCTACCATAGTCTCGATTTGGACGACAAACGTGTTAAATAGGGTAAAGTATCCACAACACTTTGAAGTCGCATGAATCGATAGATGTATGTTTAAAAAATAAACATAAGCTATGCACATTAATATTCATAATGTCATTGGTCTATATCAGGGCAGTCCAGTGTGGAATTTGATGTGTTCCTTGTTGAAGATCCCGCTATTGGGTTTACATTGAAGATTAGTCTATAATTGATAATTGACGAATACTTACCGCTCGCTTAAGTCGTGTTGTTAGTCTTTTGCATTTTCTTTGATAGAGTGTCCAGTGACCTTTTAAGTCGTTTTGTAATGGATGACTCCAAATCGGCAAGGGTCACCTTACCGTATCCATCCCAAATGCCGAAGACCTCTGTGGATAGAGCAGTGATCAATAATTACTGAGAACGCACCCTTGATCTCGTACGTTGCTGAATCCAATAGGTTCTCATTCATTTTTAGTCCTTTGAAGTTAGTGTTAAGACCGAAGTAGTCTACAAATAGTGCATACTGAACTCTTTTCGTGAAGTCATCGAGGGAACAGACACCTAGGCAGGTCAGATAGGAGACCTAACAAACGTATTAATGAATTTGGCCCGCCTTTTCCAATCGACTGTGAATTTTTTTGTCCGCAGGTCTGGTGTTTAATACTCTGAAATCCGCAGCCCTTCTCCAAGGGCAGCCTATGGGATTTAAGGGAAGCCGATTAGCCACCGTGGCATTGGTAGTCGGCCGTCGAGTAACAGCGGGCTCCAGATCCAGTTGACCGCCCAACAGACGTCGGTTACCTTCCAGGGCAAGATCCTGCGTCCGCGAGATCTGTGTTAAATGTTGGAATACTAGCTTGACTGTCTGCCCTAGGTCGGCCTTGCGGTCACTAAACGATGGCTCACGCCGGTCTACGGATAAGTTATACTTTGCATTGGGTCTTACCTTCGATGACGGTTTCTTGTGCGAGCGGAAGAGTGTCGAAAGAATTGTTTGCATCATCACTGAGCTCAAGCGGTTCCTAAATTTTAGTGGGTAATATGTTTTTCCTTGCTGGCGATTATAGGCCTTCACCACTTGAATAATCGAGGTTCCTGGTGATAGCTGGGCGTCGAGTGCGCTGTGAGATTTTTCTCTCGGGTAGTCCACCCTGTTTGTCTTCACAAACTCACAGGAAAAATAGCGTTAGACGTTGCGTAAAGTAATTGGCCGTGTTATAGCAATAACCACTTCTTACCTGCTATGCTCTTAAACCCCTAACTAAGGGGACCGTGCGTTTGTAGAGTTTACGAGCACTGTTCACGAAGGCGAAGGGACAGTAAGTAGTCTTCTATGACGTGTTAATTATTTCAATTAACATAAAATTTCTTTCCTGTTCAACGCATACGTACCTCATAAAAGTTGTTAGCAAAGGAGCACATTGTAGAGTTTTGTCAATGTTCGCCTTCTATACCTTTGAAAGTGATGACTGCTTGGGTTGTCAAAGTAATCGGTCAGGTTAGTAAATTCGCAGAAACCTATCCTCAGACAACCCATTTCATCCGACAGTATGTTTTGCACACATAGTACCTTTTAGTCTACACCAATGTATCTATTCGCGGGCGAGATGTCAATGCAAAAACGTCCAGTGATAACGTACTCATTTTGAGTGTAACCTTCTTAACCAGCTGGCAGTGGTTCTAGAGTATGCCCACATAGGAGTCTTGGTGAATAAGGCCCGACTGGGCGCTTGTAGCTACCTCAGCCTCGCTAGAGCGTCTAGCTATCTGCTAAAGAGGTCGCGAGGGGCTCCTCAGCAAGTTCTTTGCTCTGCCGAGATAACTTTCAAAAGGGAATGTTGAAAAGGAATCAAGAGCGTTATGTAGCTCCACTTCGTCCGCAATGTGTGTAAGACTGTGCACATTGTATACTGTATGCTCCTATCCGTATAAAGCAGTAAATGTTCTGGTAAAAAGTTTGAACAGCTGCTTAAAGTAACCAATATTAACTTTGCAGTTGCACGGAGAGGCAAGTAATCACAAAACTGTAGGCCAACCCTGTGCTCGTCGTCGACAGATTGCAGGAAGTCTGCGTCCCCCTTTCTCTCTCCCCTTCCTTTAAGTAGACTGCTTTTCCCATGATTAATCCTACCACGGTGCAACGTTCGCATCCGTGAATGACATTCACATTCTTCATTTGTTTTACAAAGGCCCTAGCAGGGGCGTCAGAGGTTACTGCTCTGACCACAGAGCGTGCTACTTTCCTGTCGTCCTTGATGCTCAGTCTCGCTTCCTGTGGGCGCCGTATCATTTCAACGAGTGAATTACAGAAAGCTTGGACGTCAGGCGGTTTACCGTTACCGAAATATGTGTCTAGAGGAAAGACGTTACTGACAAACGGCCGCACTATTCTTCCCAATATAGGTCATATTTTGGTTTTAGACTTTCTATAAACCGGGAGACCGTAGATTGCCAGGTAGACCGCCACCTCCGGTATGGGGACGGTCATCTGACTGAGCTGTCCGCGAAGTTGTCTTTCCAAACCTACATGGGCGTATTCCCCGCTACCCATCGGGGCTACTTCCAAATTGTGTGACGCCCCCAGCAAAGTTTTTTGGATCTTCTGGCAGTTGCAGCACGGCCGACCTAAATACATCTAACAGTTCTTCCAGATAAAAGTGTGCTATGTTGTTTCGCAAGGTCCAGTCGCGCACTTTACCGACGTTTGCATTACCTCCTTAATCGATGACTGTACTGTTGGTTTCTGTGTTTTCCTGGGATCCTATGTAAATACGTACTATAGTGCTATAGCATTAATAAACTAAACGCGTATTATACGGCGCATTATAAACGTGCATCCCAGCAGCTTTTCCTCATAGATACACTTTGCGATCTTTTTAAAAAAGCGTATAAATTGACGAAGACAATGGAATTGTCTGCAAACACGCGAGCATTTAGGATCTTAAATAAGAATGGGTCCATCTCGTTTCTGGCATACTTGTGCAGGTAAATTTAAGCAATCTTGATTTTTGACACTGGACATAATGCTGCATTTTAGAAAGATCGCCACCGTTCGATAGTTGATGATTTTTTGGTGTTTTAAAGTTTTACGCAAAAGGACTATCTAATTCAACTGAAGCAATATTTTCAGCCAATATCTAGCAAACTGGAATTTTCACGCGATTTCCATTTTTATTATGATAAAGTAACGGGAATTTTACTAACAAGAAATTTAAAGGAGACGCACTACGTTTCGGGTTCGCTTTTTTCGTATCCGAGCGGTGATTTTCCTTCCATTCTTTTGCATATATCGCCCTTGCCAATTCCGTTTACTTGCGGAATATTCTCTGACAACCATACGTCTTTCGCTGGTTTGATTTGCAATTTTCAAGTTATCATGTAATCAGCAAATCTCTCCGACTTCATTAGTCAATTCGGTGGCCTGTATATACTTGCTGTCCCCCTTCGATCGGTTCTGTCTAGATGCTTTATTAACAAGGATATCAGGCCAAATAAATAGGTGTAATTTACCAACCAATAATGATCGAAAATCAGTCAAATATTATGTTTAAATTAACGTTGCGCTTATTTTAGAAACACGAAGACGAGTAAACGTAATTCGGAAAGTATTAAATGCATGTGAATGCAAACTAGTGAAACAGTGGGACGCATAGGCATAACAACGTGGGACGGCCTAGGCATAGCAACGCGTATGTCCGTTACGCATATGCAAAAGACTATAGTCCCCGTGTTATACATCTTTTAGGAATCAGTACAGTGTGCAGTAAGACGGGCGGCAGACTGCTTATCTAAAATACTGTTAAGCCTGAAATGCCAATTCTTCTGCCGACCACTTGTGAACCTTCTAGACCCCAAATCCTACCGTGAGGCATACATTTTTTCTCCCCGGGGATTGGCGTACAAGATTGGTTTGCGTATCTGGTAACTCATCAGAGCACATTTTAATCACATGAAAACGGTAATCAAGATGTCTGGTGGTTACACTAGTCAAAAACGAAAAATCTTAATTTCACACTTGGCTTCATATTTGAGTCTGAAACCACATGTTTTCCGACGTTTGGACTCAATATGAGAATCGATTTGTCGAAATTGACGACTTGCAAACTTTTCTAATGTAGAGTGTTCTTTGTTTTAGGTTATTTGGAGATGGTGGCGCATTACGCCACGAAATGAGGCCGCCAAATTTAGCCCCGGCGAAGCCTCAGACACTTATACTGATTTTCTACAAGATGATAAAATGCAAAGTTGGTGCCTTTGCTAATTTTTTCAAGCTCCCTCCTAAAAGAGGAAATAAAACGAATTCTGGGTCCGAAAACGCTTGAATTCTGCTTAAATGTTGCGTCTGGACAGTTGGATTTCCTCCCACGTATGCCACCAGTCATTCTAAAACGAATTGCAAAAATGATCAAGTTGGAAGATTTGGTGAATCTTGAATGCACTTGCAAGCGTATTGCAGAGGTAAGAGCTTAGGACGCCCAAACAACCGTGATTGTTCTCTGCTAGGTATGTAACGATGAAGGGATTTGGAAACGGATGTATCTTTTGCACCATTCAGGTCAAATAAACGACGTCGTGCAAGAGCTGGCACGCATCTTTGGATGGAAACGAGTTTTCTTTACCAGCAAACTCAAGCTTCAAGTGAGTCTATGTCCTATCTTTCGAACAGTGTATTTAGGCTTAATTTAGATCTTTAACCTGACAAACTGCCTTATTTCCTTAAAGAAGTTCCGGACAAAGTCTCTGGCAGCCCACATGTTCTAGTTGGGCTGAATGAAATATTTGAATTTCTACGCTTTCGCATTCGTTTGTAGTTTTCCCCTCACAAATCGCGATGAACACTTGTGTGAGGGTTTCTGGCTCTGAAAAGCACCTCAAAGGTCTCATTAACCCAAAGAACTGCCATAAGTGCGCTGTCTTATATCTTAGTCCACGTGGATGTAGTATGCACAGGCCAGAGACATCTCCATCGTCGACGTTTGTGGAAAAACAAGAACTAAGACAGCAGTATTGACTTATGACTGGCATGTATGCTTAGTAGTTCATAGATGTTTTGGCAGATTATTGAATAATTTATATTGACCCAATTGTGAAAAACTCGGCGCCTCGGTGGGATTCGAACCCACGACAGTAAGGTTAATGCTTTAATACAACCAACGCTCTAACCACCTGAGCTACGAGCCCCGTGGAATGACGCGAGGTTAATCACATTTCACAGTTGGGTAAATATGAATTATTCAAAAATCTGCCAAAACATCTATGAGTTCCGTGAGCCTAGTAATCATCTGGTGGACTCTAGTTGAATTACTTGGGAAATCCTGTTTGAGCAGTCAACTTACTGTATCAGATTTGGTGGATTCCAGACGTTGCGGTAGGTTGGGTGGGTAAACTTGACCCAAATGCGATTAAACTCGCGTCGTCCGGCGGGGCCTCGTAGCTCAAGTGGTTAGAGCGTTGGCTGTACTAAAGTCTTCACCTTATTGTCCTGGGTTCAAATCCCACCGAGACGCCGAATTTTTCACAGTTGGGTCAATATGAATGACATGCATGTGACTTAATAGGATTTCGATGCACCATGCCCACTTCCTCCTTCCAACTGCTTGGTTTTATTGGGGAAACAAAGTCAAGACAGCCGAAGATAGAAGTTCGGTACGGTGGCATGGTGAGGTCCGCCCAAAATTGGTGCTGACATTTTGTCCGTCACCAGCTGTGGAGGTCACCATCGCCGTCACTCACTCCCGGCCTTCTTAACATCGTCTTGCCATCGGGACATGGCAGATGAGGCAGGACAGAGTGCATTGGGTGCTGTGCAAGTCTGTTTAGTCACGCACACGTCACCGGAGCTGGGCTTACTCCGTGTTGTAAGCGGTGGCCGACGTTGTTTGCGACCGTCGTGCCACTATCGTCGCAAACGTGTAGTATCGACCTACGCCTGAATCCAAGCGCGAAAGCCTTATGCAACTTAAATGTCACTTTTTTTCACACATATATTCTCTATAAACAATAAAATAGAGTCGAGATTACACCTGCCTTAACTTGCTGAAGGAACCTAACCCTCGAGTGTCCACACTTCTGTACTTTCATATTTGAGTGTGCTCTAGTTTCACTGAAACAATTTTCTAATATGCAAAATTCCCACTTTATGAGTTCATTTATTTTGGTTTTTGTGGCCAGTGCGGTTTTAAAAGTCTTGGAACTGTAAATATCCTAGGCTATTTACAACAGGTCTGCATCTTATTTGTGAAAGGCTTTATCCCTGTCCCACAACGGAACCAGGTGGTACTGCTCAAATAAAATTCTGTTGCCTTCTTCCCTGACATATGATCCGTGATAAATGATGAATTGAACAGTCGAATAGCACGTCCTCCTGTTCCTATCCGTCAAAGGCATTGCGAAAGTTACAAAAGTAGTTTACTTAATGGTACGGCAAATTCCAACGAAACCAAATGCCCTTCTCCAAATCTGTTGAATATAAAAGTACTCCAATATCGTAAGAAAAACTAGCAGAAGTGGTCGAATACATGTGGGCTTTTTGTGTTATAAGCCTTTACTTGGCGATCTCTTTGTAATGCATCTGTGTTCAGCGTAACTTTTCGTTCCGTCGACATTGATGATCAACTCTAGTTTAACTTCATCGGATTCTTACCAACTGCGGTACAAGACGGTTGATTCAAACACGGGTGGTTTTCTTACTATTCCTTGTGTTAACTCACAGGTAGCAATCCATTCAACGCGCCTGTGGCCTTTCCAAGTCACTTCGCCGTTGTCAAAGTTCTTTACGCGTTATTACCTACTTTCAGATGCAAATTCGTCGACTGCGCCTCGAAAAGGCTCGTGGTGATGACGAAACCAACAGCTGTCTCTCGACTTCGTTGTCAACTTCTATAGAAGATGATCTGTCAGGTGAGATGTTCATTCCAGGTGGTAAATTTACTAGGAAAAAGGTAGTTTCAAGATGCGCCAAGCTGCAGGCCGTGGGACACGTGGGGCTGTTTCTTGGGCCTATTCAACAACAGACCAAACCGCTTTTCAGTGATGATATTTATTGTTGACCTAAAGAAGACTTCGATGCCGGCAAAGGCAACTCGACGAGTGTGACATACTATTTATAAGTCAGTAATTCTGGACAGAGCTAACTTGTTGTACACGTCAAACGGGGTGTGCGCACCATCCTTTGAGAGTCTGTTGATACATTTAACGGGTTATTGAGTAAGAAGAGTCGGTGCGTAAGCAACTTTCTGACCTGAATATCCGGCGACCATCTGATCTTTACTTGGTAATCCTGTCCGCCGTGGCATTGGACTAAAATCGACATCAAAAATCCTATTCTTGTGACATATAAAACCGGCCGCTGTAATCCTCCCTGACATTCTGTATAACTCTCAATGCAGTGAACAATTTGTAGTCATCTCTCTGTCCTCAAACAAACTCTTCTGGGCATGAATGCTCATCACTGTCGAGAGCCACTGCGCCTATTGGGTGAGGGATTGTTGAAATTGAATCCTATTTTGGCAACACACGCGAGTTCATCTTATGTAGGTCTGATTTGTACTCAAACCTAGCCGTCCTTGATAATAAGCGATATGTCAGCAGCTAAGCTTGAGGAAGTTCGGGGAACGAAGTTCCTTATCGGACGTATGGGAATTTTGTGGTGGAGACAGGCTAAATGGTACAAAACAGCTGGTCGTGTCTAAGGTCAGTACATTGAGGACTTACTTGGCATGGATCCTGGAATGCCCTCTCATAACCAGTGAGGGTCGTAGTTGCGCGCTTCAATGCAAAATAGAAACCTATATTCGTCCTGCTATCTGGTAATAAATAAACAAATAAATTTTTATTAAAGACCCGTCGGGGTCCTATCAGAGCAAGTAAAAATTAATTTACATACGAATTTTAGACGAGGTAGGCAGAATCTGTACAAAATGCAATTCATAGTTTCTGAATTTGTAGTCCGTTAAGCAAAATGATGAGCGAGCGGTGAAAAAAACTCCTCTTAAAAGTTTAAAAATGATTGGATTACTTTTACAAGAGAAAAATCCTCGCTAATAATAGCACAAAAATGCGGGTAGGCCTGGCCTGCATGTGGCGGTATATAACGGATTAAAATCGGACATCGTCGGGGCAGAAATGTCAGCCTTGAGGGTTAAGTATGCGGGTCAGACAGGACTGGCCTGCATGTGGTATTGTATACGGGATTCAGAACTGATATCGTCAGGGCAGAATTGATACGCCGGATGAGACTATTCGCGTCAAAGGGGCCAGACGAGAGGAACCCAGACGCGATCGGCCACAGTCCGCTTCGAGCCCAGCCGAGGAGTAGGGAAGGGAGGTACGACCAAACTACTAGTAGACGGCGAATACTGAGGGTTCCGCCGTGAGCGTCCACAGACCGCATGAGGTCGAAATGCGGGTGATGACATCAAGAACCACGAGAATCGTCGCTATGGGGGAGGAGTGATAACAGTGGATTTAGAAACCAATTCAAAACAGGGTTTCTACTGATATAATTGAGGGTTTCCACTTGATCTACCATTAAATCCCGGGATGACCCTTCTCGAAGTCAAGAAACTGAGTGTTCGAGAATGAGACCGTTATCTTGTTCGGCGTCACTCAAATGTTGTTAAGTACAGAAGAAGAAGAAGAAGAAGAAGAAGAAGAAGACGCAATCACTGGAACAAGAAGTTTATTGGCCTGACGTTTCGGCTTCTCACTCGAACCCATCACCAGAGACAGTTACAGATAAGAATAGTGGTGGCACAAAGACTGCAGTATTTATAGTACGTAGCTGCCGTGGGACCATATGTGTACTATAATTAACAGCTCTCGCGATCACCGCTGGGGATCATAATTGAGGCGATGATGGCTCGTCAGTCGGCGTCCGAATAGTTAATTGCCGCAGTTTCATCATCCGTGTTGGATGTTGGCGTGATGATTACTCGGTCATTTGGCTCGCTGTCACTGGAATTGTTGCTCGCCCGTGCCCTCCCCACGCGACTGATTTTCCTGCTCAGGGAATGTCTCAGCACCGAATATGGTAACGGGAGGTCATCGCGCTTGTTGGTGGACTGCGAGCCTGATAACCATGACTCGAGCAGCTCGGGGCTCACGCGGTTGTCACCTCTTCCGAGGATGGAATCCTCACAGGGATCGCATCTTCTTCTGAACTGCCTTCTGTAACTCGCCTGTTCGCTTGTATGTTTCGAAGTACATTCGATTGCACCCAGCGGGCCGTGACCGCTCGTCCCTTGGTGTCGGAGCACAAATCCCAGTATGCAGTTGACAGGCTGACAACTGTTACAGTATGCGAGCGATAATTGCGTGAGCCGTTTTAAACATGGTCGCAGAATTAATCGTCGCAGTGCCCCACCCCGTTTCTCACTGAATTTTAGGCCTCCGACTTGGAGTCACAAGGAGAATCAGTTTGCCCATACTTTGTCCTGCGAGCGGACTTGATCCACAGAAATAACTCTCATACGACAGAACAGTAGCACTTTGACTTATAAATAAAAAATGACTCTTGCGTTCATCCTTCTACTAAACTCGCGTTCATCGCATGCACTTTGTCCATCTTTTGTTCTTTTTAGAGCGAGGCAGTTTAACTTCGGCGAAGGCCTACCAGAACGGTCGCTCAAACCCACCATACTAGGACGTCCTGAGATATTTCCATGACGCCGGCCCTTCCCTTTACATCGAAGTGTTCGGCCAAGTACACTTTCTTCTTCCTACAGTAGACTAACACCATACTGCACGCAATCATGACATTATTCTTTTTTGTGGTTTTTTACTCGTACTGACTTACCGTGTTATCTGTCCTCTGCCTACTCTCCTTCGTTCGGGGCTGTGACCCCTTCTCTGTTCTTGAAAAACATAGGATCACATGGTCAGCCCCCCTTATTTGGCCGTTTGCCAAAAATCTCCGTGTGGCACGTCGGTCTGGTTCGGAGGAATAATTACGAGGAGTACAGCTCGGGAAACCATGGCGACGGTTGCTCTTATGCGGTTGTCTGTCGTCATTTCTTGGAGATGGATGATTCGTGTTTTTAAACAAGGCCGTGTTGTCATGGTTCTAATCCAGGAGAGGCATGTCTTGCACTCATGGTCATTGAGTGTCGTTGGTAGAGCGGAATCTATCACATAATTTTAGGCAGTCGATAAAAGGGTGGCGGTTTCGCCGTCGTACCCGACGATGTCCACGGTGTGTTCCACAGCAAGGCGAAGCGGGCACGATATCTTGCGTGTGGGTTATAGTGAAGGCAGACTTGCGTAGCGTCTACCCCACCCTTGTCCCTCCCCACCTGGACCCGTTGTCAAGACCGAAGGTGAGGGAGAGTGCAGGCGGCAAGCACGGCCGGACCCCCACCTGGGCGTACCATGATGCCCCCTGGTCCACAACAAACATATGATTAGAATTTAAACAACAGCAGCACCAGAACGGAACCGAAAGACGAGGATGACTGGGCTCACTATCTGTATACCCGGCGGGAGCGCAAGCACACCTACCAGCAGGGAACCAGACGCCAGAGAACTGCCAGTGCACACCAGGCTGCGAGGGCCATGGCTTGCTGATCCTGGTATAGCAGACGCTTACGGGCCTTTAGGTATAAAAGGGTTATACGTGGTCCTGCATTTACCTGGGCTGTCATCCTTCAAGGCAGGATGACCAAACGGTCGTCGACTGAGAGGCGCCACCCGTAAGGCACAGACTGATCGCTTGAGAAGAGATCGTGACAGCCTGGCTCTCAGTCCGCCACTGCACATAAAGACACACAACACACGACAACTCGCACATCTTCAGCGCTACAAATAACCACCACCACCACCACCACCAC